ATTGAAGGAGCTGGAGAGGGAGGCAGGCAGGGAGGAAAGCCATCACCTCCTGCCACCCCCAGGGGCAGGACCCACCACCCTGACCTGGCCACAGCCACCCAGCTAGACAAGCCCTGGGGACAAGGGCAGGGAAAAGCTCCAGCCTGTAGGTTCCCTTCCAGTGCACAAGCTGGGAATGAGAGAACTTACCCTGACCCTCAGGTTTGGATTGTTTGTGGATTAAATTAAACGATGGAGGGTTTTTGGGGGAAAAAACTCTGCCTGGAGAAGGACACTGAAGGTTTTGGGAAACGAGGGCTCTGGCTTTGGCTGCCACCAGTTTGCTCCTGCTGGCCCAGGCTCCCTGTACACTCAGGCAGAGATGAAAATGGGCATTTCCTCCTGTGACTCCTCACCTCCCAGCACTGCTGGGTCACCAGGAGAGGGGTTCCCTTGGTTTTTTGCAGGGTAAAGAAGGGTGCAAAGAACCCACAGCTCCTGGGCTGAACAGGGCAGGAGAATTATCTTCTCTCTCTAGGAAATGCTGGGGTATTTTTTTCTTTAAAGTTTCCCCTAAAAACATTTTCATTTCTAGCCTCACTACAATTGTTCTGTAATGAATTTATCTTTTCATCTGAAAAGCAAGTTTCCCCTGGCTGATTTATTTAGTTGGCTAAATTTTTCACTTCTCTGCTCCCAGTCACTAAATCTAATCTATTCTGTGGTCTTATGTTTTTTTCCAGGGGAAAAATCAGGCTGTTTTTATCAGTAGCCACTAGAAGGGGAATTGCCATTTTCAATAAGCCCCCAGCACTGATGGAAATCAGCATCTGGAAATAAAAGAAGTGCATTGATTTGCACAAACCTGCATGTCTGTATCCTCCAAGATGGGGGGGGGGAACAGATCTGAAAAGTCCAAAAATAAAGAAAAACTGCTGTTTCTTGCAGCTGATGGTGCTGAGAATCAGGTGAAACTGAGTCCCACATCTCTCCACCCAGAGCCACCACCCCCCCCTGCCTCTCCCAGGACCCAACTCCCCAGCACAGCACCACAGTGAAGGCAGCAGGGGCCAGGGAGTGATGTTTATAACAGCAAGAACGTGCTGTGAGCACCTCATGGGGGTGTCTGGTTAAACCCCAGTTTGCCCTTGGCTCAATCTGCACACTCAGGGCTTTTTTTAAATTTCTTCCCCCCCACCCCCCCCCACCCCAGCAACAAGATCACACAGATCTTAAGCACTGAAAGCCTTAGACATGTGGAAGAGATTGCAATTGCAGGGATTATTTAGCTTTGAAAGGGGAAGCGTCAGGATTTAGTTGGGCTTTTTAAGATTATGAAAAGAGCAGGGGAGTTCAGAGAAAGCACAACATTTAGGGCAGTGAAGCAGGTCAGACATCCATCATCTGCCATTGCAGGAGGGCAAAGAGCATTTCTTGGCAGATGCTAAAAATGGATCCGGTCGTGAGTGACTCCTCCTTGTAAGCCCCAAAGACAGAGGTGAGCACATCACAGGCTGCTCTCCAGCACTGGCCTCAGCCAGGAGCCTTCCTCCTCCTCCTCCCTGCTCAGATTTGCCAGGCAACCAAGCCTTTCCCTGGACTTTCACCTCCAGCCCCAGCACCACTCCTGGGGCAGGGGACTGAGCTCAAAGGAGCAGCACTTCCATGGGAAAAGGCAAAGCCTGCCTTGCTGGGACAGGGCAGAGAAGGTGGTACAACAGGGCAGGTCTTTGTCAGACAACTGGGGCATCAAGATCCCAGCAAGCACCAGGAGCACGATATACTTGGCCTGGCAAAGCAGCTCACAGGGACTCCCAGGACCATCTGGATCCACAGCTGGGAGGGTTTCTTGTTGCACCATAGAAAATTTGAATTCCTGCCTGGTCTGCTCCAGAGACACAGAGTCATAGAGTTGTTTTTGTTGGAAAAGACCTTTAAGATCATCAAGTCCAACCATTAACCCAGCCCTGCCCAGGCCCCCACTGCCCCATGTCCCTCAGCACCATCTCCAGGGCTTGGAAACCCCTCCAGGGATGGGGACTCCACCTGGGCAGCCTGGGCAGGGCCTGACAGCCCTTTTGGGGAAGGAATTGTTCCTAATATCCAATCTAAAAGCCTTCCTCCTCCTCCTCCCTGCTCAGATTTGCCAGGCAACCAAGCCTTTCCCTGGACTTTCACCTCCAGCCCCAGCACCACTCCTGGGGCAGGGGACTGAGCTCAAAGGAGCAGCACTTCCATGGGAAAAGGCAAAGCCTGCCTTGCTGGGACAGGGCAGAGAAGGTGGTACAACAGGGCAGGTCTTTGTCAGACAACTGGGGCATCAAGATCCCAGCAAGCACCAGGAGCACGATATACTTGGCCTGGCAAAGCAGCTCACAGGGACTCCCAAGACCATCTGGATCCACAGCTGGGAGGGTTTCTTGTTGCACCATAGAAAATTTGAATTCCTGCCTGGTCTGCTCCAGAGACACAGAGTCATAGAGTTGTTTTTGTTGGAAAAGACCTTTAAGATCATCAAGTCCAACAATTAACCCAGCCCTGCCCAGGCCCCCACTGCCCCATGTCCCTCAGCACCATCTCCAGGGCTTGGAAACCCCTCCAGGGATGGGGACTCCACCTGGGCAGCCTGGGCAGGGCCTGACAGCCCTTTTGGGGAAGGAATTGTTCCTAATATCCAATCTAAACCTCCTCTGGCACAACTTGAGGCCAATTCCTCTTGTCCTACCACTTGTTCCTTGTCCCCTTCTATCCAACCCCCTCTCAGCAGCTGCAGAGCCAGCAGGTCTCCCCTCAGCTCCTTGTCTCCAGGCTGGACACCCCCAGCTCCCTCAGCTGCTCCTGCTCACACTTGTGCTCCAGCCCCTTCCCCAGCTCCCTTGCCCTTCCCTGGACACACTCCAGCCCCTCCATGTCCTTCTTGTCCTGAGGGGCCAAGCCATAGGACATGAGCACTCATGTTCTGTAGAGGGATGGTGGTTAAAAATTAGGGACACAACATCACCTCAGCTGTCACCCCCACCAAGCAGGTCCAGGGGGACACATTGACAGAGAGAGCAGCAGCAAAGTGAAAGATTTCTTCCTTCCAGAGACAAAGGGGTGTTTACCATGCTCTGACTCCCATAGCCTACACCTGGAGTGTGTGTTTCAAGGTTTCCTGGATCTCCTTATGTCCAGGTGAGCTCAGGGGTCACAGAACTGGATGGTATTTGCCTCTCAGCATTTGCAAGGTTAAGGAGCAGAGCAGCCATTTCAACCCCATCCATCCTGGGGCTCTGGATCCAGGCTGTTGGCAAACAGAGCAGCTCCCAGGAGGGTATTTCCTTAAAAAAAATAAACAAACAACACAGACTGCACATCACCTTCCAGCCCACAGGAAGGGCCACAGCTCCAGGCCAAGAAAAGCAGCTTACCAAGCCAGTGCTCTCTGCTCTCCTCACTCACATGTGTTTTGCATCAGCTGTGCTAGAGGAAAACCCTGCTGGGATGGAGGTAGGGAGATGTGTCACAGCCTGTGCTGGAGCCTGGCAGGAGCCACAGAGCAGGTTGTGCAAAAGGCAGCAAGGGGAGGGCAGGGAGGCAGGAGCACTGGTAGTTCTTGTCCAATAAAGGGTCCAGAGGTGAACAAAGGGAAAAGAGACCTCATGGAGATACAGCTCCTCACACCCATGTCAGAGAGTCACAGACTGGTTTGGGCTCTTAAAGACCATCTAGTTCCAACCTCCTGCATGGGCAGGGACACCTCCCACCAGCCCAGGCTGCTCCAAGCCCCATCCAACCTGCCCTTCAACACTGCCAGGGATGGGGCAGCCACAGCTTCCCTGGGCAGCCTGGGTCAGGCTCTCACCACCCTCACAGGGAAGAATTCCTTACTAATATCTCACCTCAATCTCCCCTCTTCCACTTTTAATCCATCCCCCTCATCCCATCCCTCTCTGCCCTTGTCCCAAGTCCCTCCCCAGCTTTCCTGGAGCCCCTTCAGGCACTGGAAGGTGCTCTAAGGTCTCCCTGGAGCCTTCTCTTCTCCAGGCTGAACACCCCAGCTCTCCCAGCCTGTCCCAGAGCTGCTCCAGCCTCTGATTATCTCCGTGGCCTCCTCTGGACTCTCTCCATCAACTCTGTGTCTTTCCTGTGTTGGGGGCTCCACAAATGGACTCAGCACTGCAGGGAGGGGTCTCACCAGAGTGGAACAGAGAGGAGAATCCCTTCCCTCCCTCTGCTGGGGATGCAGCCCGTGGTACCACTAACACACAGTGCCCTGAGTCCTGAAGACCAGTCACCACTGGTTGCTGAGGAAAGGCAAAGAGAGACCCTGTCCCCAGAGCTCCTCTCTGGGCTGGGGGTGTCCCTGGAAAAGCCCCTGGGCTGTAGGTGCCTGGCACAGCAATTTCCTCTCTGCCCAAAGGGGTGCACCAACCTCCAAGCTAGAACCAGCCCAAGTCCACAGCTCCACACAGCTCTTCCAGCCCAGGAGGTGGGATCAAGGTTACTATTTGCAAGAGCTAGTTCTAAACAGTCCAAATGGAGAACAGGGAACTGAGGTGCTGTGCTTACAGCTACAGAGGGAGGGAAATCATAGAATTAGAGTGGTAGAGGTTGGAAGGGACCTTTGGAGATCATCATGTCCAATACCCTTGCTAGAGCAGCAACACCCAGGCCAGGTCACATAGAAACACATCCAGACAGGGCTGGAAAGGCTCCAGAGAAGGAGACTCCACAGCCTCTCTGGGCAGCCTGTCCCAGGGCTCTGTCACCCTCACAGGAAAGAAGTTCTTCCTCTTCTTGAGGTGGAACTTCCTGGGCTCCTGTCTGTGCCCATTGTTCCTTGTCCTGTCACAGGGCACCACTGGAAAGAGACTGGGCCCTTCTTGACACCCTCCCTTTCCCTTCAGATATATGTAAACATTAATAAGATCACTTCTCAGTCTTTTCTTCTGCAGACTGAAGAGCCCCAGGTCTCTCAGTGTTTCCTTACAGGACAGATATTCCAGGCCCTTGGTTATCCCTGCAGCCCCCCATTGGGATATCAAATCAGGACCCATGAGTCCCAGCTCAGCACCTTCTCCCCATCACCTCCCCACCTTGAGTGAACCCCAGGAGACCAGAGTGGCTGCACTCAGCCTGTTTCTCTTGAAATGAATCCCTGGGTAGCTGGACCACGACCTGAAGCCCAGCAGCCATTCCTAAAAGGAAGGAACCAGCTGAATTCAGTCTCCTGGCATCTCCACTCCCAGGTGGCTAAAGAAGCAGGGAGTTGGCTCAGGAAGTATTTCAACAAGGAGGACCAAAGCCTGAATAATAACACAGTAGAAAGTTCACAGCAATGGGTAGGTATGAGACCACAGGACATGGTGAAGTGAGGGTGTCCACATGACAGACAAGACAAGGAACCCAATTCCTGGGGCTCCATGTCCCACTTCCAGCATTTCTGCACCACGTCCCAGCCCCAGCAGCACCACAACAGTGGTTACTCCAAGGAGAAGCAACCTCCTTGCTTACACCCAGTGCTCCTGGCAGGAGAACTGTGATAAGGTGATGGATAAGAAGTACTATATTTTATTTTTTTTTAATCAGATTTCATCTTTTTCTGCTCCTCCACCCTTCTAAGTTCATTTCTACACCACTGGGCTCCAAAACTGACCAGCCAGCAGGGAAAGGCAACAAGCTCACACCTTCTCTCCCATTCCTATGGATCTCACTTCAGCTGAGGAGGGAACCTTGGCCTGTCTTTCAGCACCTGTGGTACAAAAATGATTAGACATCTAATCCTCATTAAAATTCAGGTCTGCCCTCTGCTTAGGCTCTTCTGAAAACCTACCTAGATGCTTCTCAACATCTAGATGTCAAAACACCTTTTCAAATCTGACTTTAGAC